CTTGAGTCCTGGTTTTTAGTATCTAATGGAATACATGGTGGAACCTTTTATAAAATATTTCATTAAAGGCAGTTTTATCTTTGGAGGAAATCTGGATTTTCATATGTGAATTTGCTTACGGCTGCTCCACTGGTGTTCCAGCTTAGCTTTAGGTCTTTCTTATTTGTAGATGGGACATTTATTCACACCAAATATTCTTGATTTTGAAACTAATCAATGAGTCACAAGAATACATTGATACCTACCACAGGGCAGGTAGAGTGAAAGATACAAAAGCAGAAATAACACGTATGTCTATGTGTTATGGTTCAAGGGCTGAACTGTATCTCCTCCTCTCCACATTCCTGTGTTGAAGCCCTAACCCCACTGCCTCAGAATGTGACAGTATTTGGAGATATTCTCTTTAAAAATTGATGAGTAAAATGAGGTCGTATGGGTGGGCCCTAGTCCAATATAACTGCTGTTCTTGTAAGAAGAGGTGACAAGGACACAGACACACACAGAGGGACGATCACATGACGACACAGGGAGAACGTGGCCATCTATGAGCCCAGGAGAGAGGCCTCAGGAGAAACCAACCCTGCCGGTGCCTTGATCTTAGACTTCCAGCCTCCAGAACTGTGAGGCAATCAACTTTTGTTTAAGCTTTTTACAGACCCTCGCCTGTAGTATTTGTTCCAGTAGCCCTAGCAAACGAATACACTATTCCATTTCCAAAACACTCCTTAAATCCTTAAAGCAACTCTGCAAGGGAGGCCTCACTGCCCTCTGTTTATAGACAAGGAAATCAGGGTTCAGAAGAATGGAGTCACTCACGCAAAGTCACACAGCTGGAGAGTGCCAGGCTGCCTAGGTCCTTGGCTTCTGACCCTGCGTGCTCCTTTGGAAGTTCTGCCCCGTGGGTGGGAAGAGCATGAAAGTACAAGAGTCCCCTCTATCCACACGGAATACATTCCAGGACCCCCATACTATCTAGATGCTCCGAACTGCAGATAGTACCGAACCTATATATACTGTGTTTTTCCTATACACGCATCTCTGTGATACAGTTTAATTTATGAATTAGGCACAGTAAGAAATTAACAACAATAATAATAAAACAGAAAATTGTAACAATATACTAGAATAAAAGTTCTGTGAATGTGGCCTCCATCTCTCTCTCTTTCTCAAAATATCTTATTGTATGTAATATTTTGGGACCACAGTTGACTGCTGGTAACTGAAACCTTAGATAAGGGGCCACTACTATAGACAAAACAGATCACAGCAGCAAAGAGAGCAAAGCTCTGAAGGCAGAGTTAGAAGCCTGAGGCAGGGGAGGTATGGCAGAGGCCAGGGAAGACTGGCTAAGAGGACTTAGGTGGGATCAGGGTCTCTGGAGGCCCTTCTTCGGGGGTTATTATAGCACTAATGAGAGCTAACATTTCTGAGTATTCAGCATAGGACAGACACTCTGGTAAATGCCTCCTATGTGCTGCTTTGTGTAAACCTCGCAGCAAGCCTATGATGCAGGTGTCAGCATTGTGCCCATTGCACAGATGAGGAAACTGAGGCTCAGAGAAATGAAGCAAAGTCCCTGAGAGCAAACATCCCGGGAGAGGAAGTGCCTGATTTTGAAAGGTCTGTCTCACTCAGAGACCCTGCTGTTGCTCACTTCACAGCAACGCTGTGGGTGTGTCCTGGCTCTGGAATGGAGGAATGGAGGAATGGAGGAATGGAGGGAGAGGGAAAGCCACCAGCTCCTTCACAGGCAAGGAGAGGTCTGAGTTCCCTAGACCTGGGCTGCCCCCCTCACCAGAGCTCTGGGTGTCAGGACAGCAATCATATGCCCCAGACGGCTCAGGCATGGGCCCCCTGGCAGTGTCCTCATGTATGCAAATTTATGGTTGGGAGAAGGCAGACTCCACGCCATGAAATACCCTCCCTCCCCCAGGAAGGCAAAGTCCCAGAGCAGGAAATGATGCTTTCGTCCATTCGTGCGCCCTCTGCCTCCTCTCTCCATCTCTCTTCCCCCACACACTCTCACATTTCACTTTCTGGCTGGGAATTGACTGGGCTCCTCATCCTTTATTGACGTGTTTATGTCGGGAACAAGAACACACCAGGACACGGGTTCAGCTCCGGGCACCCCTCGAGCAAGTGCGCCCCCTAGAGGAGAAACTCTCCCTTGTCCTTCAAGCTACTTCCCAGCCTCACCTTTCCCAGGAAAACCAAGCCGGAGGAGAGGCGGTTGTCCACTTTGCCTGAGAACATGCCTTGGAGCATGTGCTGGTCTTCTGAGTTTCTTTTCTAATTTCCGCAGGTTGTCACTTGCATGCCAGAGCTGGAAAAAGCCACAGGCATCTGCTGGTCCTGCAGTTTCAGGACCTGAACATCAGCCTGGCCCCCAGGTGCTTGGAGCCAGCCCTACTGGGATGCAGCACTTCCAAGCTCACACCATGCCCAGTGGTTCCCAATCCGGGGTAGACATTAGCACCAGCTGAGATGTTTAAAGTATGCAGAGGCCCTGGATAAAGTATGCTCACCTGGAACCCTGGCACTGGGACTTTTTAATGTGCTGCCCCACCCCTTCTATCCCAGGTGATCCTAGTGAGTAGCCGGGGCTGAGAGCTGCTGGTCCAAGCTGGAAATGCTTGCACAGGAATCACTCAGGGTGCTTATAAAAGAGGACGTTTCCAGATCCAGACTTCAACCCACTGAATCAGAATCTCTGTGGGAGAGGGAGAGGCTGAAGGACTTGCATTTTATTTTATTATTTTTATTTTTGTTTTTTGAGACTGAGTTTCGCTCTTGTCGCCCAGGCTGGAGTGCAATGGCATGATCTCAGTTTATTGCAAACTCCGGCTCCCAGGTTCAAGCGATTCTCCTGCCTCAGCCTCCTAAGTAGCTGGGATTACAGGCAGCCGCCACCACACCCAGCTAATTATTGTATTTTTAGTAGACACAGGGTTTCACCATGTTGGCCAGGCTGGTCTCGAACTCCTGACTTCAGGTGATTCGCCTGCCTTGGCTTCCCAAAGTGCTGGGATTACAGGCATGAACCACCGCGCCCAGCCTGCATTTTAAACCAAAAACCTGAGGTGACGTCGGTGAAGCACTGGGCGACTCGTTCATCTTTATGGGATGACTGTGGGGTCCAGGGAGGTGAGGAGACAGTCTCAAGCCTTGCAGCTCAAGGACAGCTCCCAAGTCATGGCAGCCACTTCAGAGGGGTTGTGGGGGCCTGGGAGGTGGTGCCCTGGCCTATGGTCCCTGCTCATGAGGGGAAGCAAGGCTCATCCTCATCCTGTGATCTTAACTCCCTCCTCAGCCCCACCCCACAGGAGCTCCAGCAGGTCAGCCTGGCCCTCCCATTCTTGAGTCCCAGTGGCCCCCACTGGCAGGAGTCCCCACTGACCCTGTTGTCCCACGTTCCTGTTTACCCCCACCAATCACGCCCCCTAGCACCAGGTTCTTGGTCAGGCAGTTTCCTCCTTCCAGTACCCTGGCGTGACCAGGTCCTGGAGGAGGTCAGGACCCACAATTTCTGCAGCCCCCACTGTCTGGGACAACAGAGTCCCACCTCGAGGTTCCTCCACCTCCAGCATCCTGGAGCAGCTGCGGGACACCTGTCTCCCTGGGCTCCTCAGTGAGGCCCCAGGCCTGTCCCCGCCTGCCCTTGCAGACCTCCTCCCTAAAGTGCTGTGCTCCCACCCAGTGCTTGCCCACGGCCAGTGGGGGCTGTGAGGGCCAAGAACTGGCTGAGAGGAACCTGGTGGCATGGAGTCTGTCTGTTTCCTCATCTGCAGAAACAGCTTTGTGGTAGCAATGGTGGTGCTCCCACCCCAGGCTGCTGGAGAATCCACAGACCATAGGTGATCACGCTCTGTAAACTGGTGGCTCTCACCCAGCACCCCTGCAGCGACTGCCCCCTCTCCAGGGGTTCTTCCGTCAAGGCCCCACTCTCATCCTCTGCTGCCCAGGCCTGCAGCTTCCCCCAACCTACACCCCCATCCTGCAGCTTCCCCCCGCTACACCCCCATCCTGCCGCTTATGAGCTGTGCGTGTGAGCACTTTGTGCCTTGGTTTCCACCTCTGTACTCGGCGTGGCTATAGTCCTACCTCGGGGTGTTCTCACAGTCAGAGGAGTCAACACTGACAAGCTGGGTGCCAAGGGTTCAAGGGGAAGGAAGGGGGTGCACAGGTGGAGCCAGGGGTCTTTCGAATGGGGGACCCAGAACGGTAGGTTCAAGTCTCTGCACCTTTCGTCTACACCCACAGCATGTACAACAGGCAGCGAGAACCTGGATGAAAAAGGTGGGCTTTGGTTAATGATATTTTATCACTATTGGTTCATGAATGTTAACAAACGCACCACCATTGCGCGATGTCAGTAATAGGGGAAATGGGCGAGATATGGAGACTGTCTACTTACTTCCTACTTTTTTTTTTCTGTAAACCTAACTGCTAAAAAAAAAAAAAAAAAAAAAAAAAATCTGTCTCCTAAAAACAAAAACATGCTAAGAGGCCCCGTGCAGTGGGAGCCACCAGCGTTCCTCGCTTTTATGCCCCATCGTCACCCGACCCTTGTTTATGCACCTGGCCTGAGGACTCGGAGCCGGAGCCTCGGGAGCTGGGCTCTTGTCCTAGCCGTCCCCAAAGCGCCGGCTCCCAGCATCAGCCCCTGGCTTTGCCAGGCGCAGGTCCCCCGGCGCGGGCCCGAGCCAGGGATTTATGAGGCCACAGCGCCCCCTGCTGGCCCCGCTCGACCGCCCGGAGCCTGGGCCACGCGGGACTCCCCGACTGTGCCTCGCTTGCTCCCGGTGCTCGTCCTGCACGCGATGTTCAGCTTGTCACAGGTAACGACACGGAAAAGCTCGAACGTTCGTGACTTTATTGCGGAAAAGCCCCGCAGTGCCGGAGCCGGGGGACCCAGTCTGGCTTCTGCAGCGGGGCAGGGCGGGGTCCCAGCAGGGCGCAGCGGCGGGCACGCGACCAGAGGCGGCGACTCCTCGGTCAGGGCCCAGCACGGGGGGCTTACGTGATGTCAGTGGCTTACTAGTCCTGAACACCTTACTGGGGCTTAGTACTCCGGGTGACCGTGCGAGGTCACTATTACAGCCCTCTTTACAAATGAGGCGGCACAGAGAGGCCGCGTAACTCGCCGAGGGCACACAGTCGGTGAAGGAGTCCGTCCGGGGACCCTCTGCGAAGCTGCCTCTGCCCGCTGGCTTCCGGGTCTGAGAAATGGGCACAGCCGACCCCCTCGCCTTCGCGGCCAGTCTGGGCTGGCACGGGAGTCGGGGTCGTCCGCGCAGAGGTGGGCATGGGGCACAGGCGGGCGCGGCTGGCTAGGGCTGCAGCTCGTACTGCCGCTCGGTGGCCGTGTAGAAGTCCTCCAGCACCGACTGCAGGAACTCGAAGGTGGGCCGCTCCTCGGGCCGGCTGCGCCAGCACTCGGCGATGACGCCGCGGTACAGCTCGGGCGGGCAGGTTTCGGGGCGCGGCATGCGGTAGCCGCGCTCCAGGTTGCGGATGACCTCGGGGTTGCTCATCCCTGCGGCAGAGGGGACCGCGAGCGCGGGTGAGGGGCGGGGGTCCTTGGTGGTGGGGCGACCTGAGCGGCCCGCGGGGCACAGTGGGCCCAGGCAGGGGACAGCAGTACCTACAGGCCCAGACCGCCTCTCCAGCTTCGTAGGTTGCCCGGCCGCCCAGCCTCTAAACAACCCTTTATTTACTTTTTATTGCCTGGGGAACGCCTAGAAATGAGGCTGTCGATTTTCTCCTGAGTGCGGGGGCAGGTCCTCTGCAGATGGGACCCTCCCCCTCTTGATTACCTGTGACCACCAGGGGCACAGCCAAGCCTATCACGCATGGGCAGCTGCCAGGTGCACGCAGCAGCAGGTGACCCGGAGCCTGCCCAGCTGCAGGGGCCATGCGGCCGGAGCCCTTCGATTGGGGCTGGGGGCTGGCGTCCACGACTCTGCTCACACAGAATGGGGCTTTGGGGATCCGCTATGGGTGCAATGCCACGGTGGGCACAACCTGTCCTCAGCTGAGAACAAGCCATTGGGAGTAAACTTGAGTTCAGATGTGCCTTTGTCTTGATTCCAGTTTGTGGGACTCATCTGACCTCTGCTGGAGGAAGGCGATGCAGCCCTGTGGCCCAGAGCAATAGTGATGCAGGGGGCAGAGCTCCACCCCAGATTCCATGCCTGGGTCTCCGTCCTTGCCCTGGGACTCACTCTGAAAAGAACGGGGCAGCCACAGGCACCAAGGACAGGTGACCTGCCACCAGGGCCGGCCGGGAAAGCAGGGAGCCGTGAGAGCTGCGGGGTGAGCCGCCTACCTGGGTATGGTACCCGCCCATAAGTGACAACTTCCATCAGGAGGACTCCAAACGACCACACGTCTGCTTTGATGGTGAAGACCCCGAAGTGGATGGCTTCTGGGGCTGTCCACTTGATGGGGAACTTGGCCCCTGTGGGAAAAGCCATGCACAGCTTTGGGAGGCCACGGCCGGTAGCCCCTACCCTCCATCCTCACCCCTACCCCTGCTCCTGCTGTCCTTCCCTCAAGCCCTCACTGCGGGGCCTGGAAAGGCGGGGCGGCCTGGCATGGTGGGAGCCATTACCACACACCAGGACACATGGCCAGGTGAGTGCAGACACGACATCTGCAGCACAGAAAGAGGATATGGACACCAATAGCACGTGGTCACCCACTTTGGTTCTTTAAAAAGAGAGCAAGTGACCTCAATGGCAGCCACCATGTTTCCACCTGGGATGGAAGGGGCCTGTTTCACCTTACAGGGACCTTGTTTAATTAAAAAAACATGGCCTGGGCAAGCCATTTAAACCTGCCCGCGCCTCCGTTAGTCCCTTCCTGCAAAATGGAAACGGTGACACTTGTACCTCCGAGGGCCACTATGAGAAAGGACTCACATTCGGCTGCCCTGTGAAGCAACTCAATGGCTGCAGCCCCAGCCAGCATTTGGAGCAGACCTCAGGGCTTGGCACTTCACGGCCTCCCCTGGGCTTCATTTCTCGGTCTCCCCAGCCAGCCTGAAGTTCCCGAGAGAACAAGCCATATCCTGTCTGCTTGTCATCTGACTCGTATGCTCATCGGACACTGCTTGTTTGCTTAATAAATGTGTGTGACCGCTTCAGATTCTCTTGTGACGTAGATTTCCATCTCAGTTACATTCACAGAGTAAAACAGAGTGCTCCGTGGATACCCTAATTCAGGTTGGTTTGCTGCTCGCACATGAGAGCTGTGTTTCTTACAGTGTGCACTGTGAAGGCCTAATTCTAATACTATAAAAATAGTATTTAGGCATGGCTTACGCCAGTCATCCCAGCACTTTGGGAGGTCAAGGCAGGTAGATCACCTAAGTTCAGGAATTCGAGACCAGCCTGGCCAACATGGTGAAACCCCATCTCTACTAACCATACAAAAATTAGCCAGCTGTAGTGGCACACGCCTGTAATCCCAACTACTTGGGAGGATGAGGCAGAAGAA